AAGATAATTCGGACCCTTATTAAAATATTGTCTTCTTCTTAGTCTCCTTTTTTTTTCGTACGGCAACACCATATGGATCCAAATGTAGAAGTAATTCTCGTACAACCTCTTGTGGTACATTTATGTTATTTTGAATGCATTTTAAATGTATCCATTTATATCCATGCAAATTAGAAGATGTTAATAATTCATTTTCAAGGTAATTAACAACATCTTTAATTTTAGAATAGTTTTTTCTTCTGTAAAGATTTAAAGTTGACAGAAGCCTCTTAAGAGTTCGGTGTGATATACAAATTTTATGTAAGTTTCGCAAAAAGGCAAGTATTTCCTTTTGTTGAAACCCTAAGTGAAAGTATTTTTCAATCAAGTCGCAGGTATTCTATAAAAAATGTAATTATAAATAACAAAAATTAGCACTGCCTAGAACAATAAATCATAACCTTACCTGATTCGTTGACATACTTATTCACATAAAAAAAATTACACATTAAAGATCAACAAAACGCAATACAAGGTTAATTATCCCAAACACGCATATAATACGATTGTATGTAGTTTTATTAATTTATATGTGATGTGTAGGTACCTACCTAAAAATAGCTGTATAATTAAAATTCTGAGTTACAATTCGGAATTATACAAAATTCCGAGTTACAACTCGGAATTATACAAAATTCCGAGTTACAACTCGGAATTATACAATATTCCGAGTTACAACTCGGAATTATACAATATTCCGAGTTACAACTCGGAATTATACAAAATTCCGAGTTACAACTCGGAATTATACAATATTCCGAGTTACAACTCGGAATTATACAAAATTCCGAGTTACAACTCGGAATTATATAAAATTCCGAGTTACAACTCGGAATTATACAAAATTCCGAGTTGCAACTCGAAATTTTACAGAAAAATTATTTTATTTAAAAATTGGCCCTTCTACGCTTCCGTAGAAATATATTAAAATATAATAAATAAAATAATAATTTTATATCACATTAAGATAAGTTTAGCCGTTCTCATAAAACTCTATTATGGTTCTTAGCGATTTATTGCTTTTAATAATTAAAAACAGTTTGCAGCCGGAATTTTGTTTATTTCATAATATTTATAATAATTGATTAATCATATTATGTTAAAATAGCCATATCCTGTTAAGTTCGAATCGCCTTAAGATTACTAAAACAAAGTTTTTTTTTTATTATTCATTTACTTACACATTTACAGGTAGGTAATTGACACAAAACATGGCCGAACCTAAGAAGATGTGTCGTCAGTACAGTGTTGAATATTTAAAATTTGGTTTTCTTCCATCAAAGGCAGACAAACGATTGCCCACATGCCTTTTATGTAACAAAGTTTTGATCAATGACTCTATGAAACCATCAAAGCTGAAATATCATCTAAGAAGATGCCATCCTGATAAAATAGGTAAAGATTTGAAATATTTCCAAACATTAAAGGAAACATATGAAAAGTGACCCACCGTGCACAGTATGATCTCTTCAACGTCTGAAAGCAATGATGATGGCTTGCGAGCATCTTACAATATCTCTTATCTTATCTGTTTATCGCAAAATCTGGAAAACCACACACCATTGGAGAACAGTCAATTTTACCTCCTGTTGAAGAGGTTTTAGAAACTGTTCTGCACAAATCTTCATTTGACATACTCAAAAGAATTCCTTTGAGTAACAACACTGTATAAAGACGTATTGATGAAATGAGCTCTGATGTTGAAAGTTTCTTGTGTGATTATCTACGAACAACTCATTTTTCTATTCAACTGGACGAGTCAACTTTACCTGGCAATCAAGTATTATTATTGGCATATGTTCGATTTGTTATGGGCGAAAAAATTCATGAAGAGCTACTATTCGCGAAAACTTTGAAGGCGGACACTAAAGGTGAATCAATATTTAATGTTTTAAGTGATTTTTTAAAGAAAAAACTATTCACAAACGTTATTTTGGTGGCAACAGATGGAGCTCCTGCCATGGTCGGGCGATATCGTGGGTTTATAAGCCATCTTAAAAAAATTATACCAGAGGTAATTGCGAAAAATTTGAGTGATAGATTGCACCAGTCGCTTCAGTTTGTGATTAATGCAATTAACAAAATAAGAAGCAATGCAATGAATACGCGTTTATTTGCACAATTGTGCGATGAAAATGATGAAGACTTCCAACGATTGCTGTTATATACCGAAGTACGCTGGTTGTCGAAAGATGCATGTTTATCAAGATTTTATTTACTCAGTTTTGGAGATTTTGGAAATTAAAGATCCTGATTTAAAAAAACTTGATCAATTTTAAAGCAGACATCGCGTTTTTGCCAGATTTGTTCAAAAACTTTAATGACCTCAACTTACAATTACAAGGGGACAGCCTCAATTTAATAAAAACAAGGAGTGTAATTTCAGATTTTCTTGGTTAATTGAAATTTATGAAGGAAAATATTGATCGACGCGAATTTTCACAGTTTTCAAACTTGTCGCAGGTAGAATGCTTTGATGAAGATATTCAGACATACGTTCAACATTTGATTGCCCTTAATGATGCTTTTAATCTTAGATTTGAAGACATTCTGTCGATGGAAATACCACCATGGATTAAATCCATTTGATGAAACGGAAGTGAAGAATGTGATATTACAAGAGGAGCTGCTTGAGCTTAGCACTAATAAGGAGCTGAAAGTGACATTTAAAAGAGGGTATCAAAAATTTTGGCTGCAGGCAGAAATACCCGAAAAATAACTTGGAATGTGGGGACTTGTAAAAAAGCTTCTGATAGCGTTTCCCTCGTCATATCTCGTTAAAAAAAGTTTTAGTGGCGTTACAAACTTATTAAAAAAAAAAAAGGAGCAGATTGAATATCACAGAAAGGGGAGATTTACAGTTATTCCTTACAAAACTCAAGCCAAATATTAATAATTTGCTGTCAATCCATCAAGTACATCCCTTTCATTAAAATTATATTTTTTTTTTGTAATAACCATTTTAGAAATTACATTACGTTATAAGTGTTTAATTTTAATTATATTACGACGGTTATAACAATAATAATTAATAGTGTATTAATTTATATATTTAAATTTAAATAAATACCTACAACACAAGGCAATATACTATATTTATTTTTACCACTCCGAATGGGACGTTTTCTGAATAAAATTTGTGAGAATTGATTGGTTCTTGTGCTTTGAGTCACTGTAAATTTCAAAAATGTAAAGTTGGATGGAGTCACTTTTTAGTTTGGCCAACTTTGCTTTTTTGACCTCCATTCACAGCACAATCAATTAAAATTTAATTGAAAATTTGTTTAGTCGACTTTAATATCAAATAATTAACCCTATCAAGCAATCAACTCTAACTTTTTTTTTTTTTTTTTTTTTTTTTTTTTTTTTTTTTTTTTTTTTTTTTTTTTTTTTTTTTTGAAACTGTTAATTCGTCGTTAAAACTCAGCCACAACGCAAGTTTCCATAGATAGATCTTCACTTTTTTTTTCAAGATTTGGAAATTGGTAGTGATCTAGCTACTCCACCGGATCCAGCAAAATTTTGAAAGTCTATGAAACAAAAGAGTTTGGCAACCTTTGATTTAGACCGACCACACGCAAATGTTATACTTTTAAACCAAATTAGCGCCATTTTGTGTTTGAAGTAAGAGCTAAAATGACAATTGACTAATGGCAACATTTATTTTTAATACATAGTTAGATATTAAATTATGAGGGTTTAAATGTGGTCATTTTCAGTACTAAAAGTCAATGTCACAATTTTTTTTACTTTTAAAAATGTTTAGATTTTGGTCTAATGGATGTATTTAGGATTGAATGCAGCTATTATGTATGAAAGTTTTTTTTAAAGAAGATAAAGGTATCCAAACGTGTGATGTATTCAAGATGAGACAAAGAGCGGATTGCCAGAGGGGAAAAGTTTTTTTCATAAGTCGAGTATGATATACTACTGGTTGTTAGACAAGATGTATTTAGACTGGTTCTATGTAACATTATCAAGAAAGGGATGAAAAAAATACCTAAGTGTCTTCTTATTAGGAAGAAAGCGATGAGGTAATAATTGAGCTTGTGGTATCTGCGAATAGGTGAAACAAAAAATCCCTCCGTAAACCAGCTTAGTTTTTGTATCCAAATATACTAAATTAATACCAGTTGGCTAAAAGTAACATTGACAACTTTAGTAGTAACCCTAAAAAAATTTCACTTAGCTATTTAATAGAACTAATTGTTACTTAAGGATCTTAGAATGTTATAAAAGTTACTGAAGATCAGCTATTTTCAGTATTACATTTCTTGTTCTACTAGATTACGTGAGATACAGATATTGTTTAAGGCTCGTTACTATTCTAAAAATCAACATGTGGTTCCAGATTGATCTCAAAACAGCTCCCTTTATATCCTTTTTTATGCTTTGTCACAATATACATTTTGAAAATTCTGATGTGTAGAATTTTGTTTTCTTATGACCTAAAAATTATTGAATACATATTTATTTATTGGATTATTAAGTAATAAGTCGTCTTAGGGATTTATTAGTGTAGAGCCTGGAAAATATGCAAAATGCATGTAAAGTACATGCATTCATATTTCCCCCAAACTATCAAAATGCATATCGTCGGCCTAATCTGTAAACTGCGTAACTCCTTTTCAGTAACTTTTACAGGAAATACAAAAAACTACCTGTAGCTCTTTAGAATTGTTCTTTTTTAATTAACCTTTTTGTATTAGTATCTTAGTTTTTCAATATTTGGTGTATATAATATTTATAAACGTACTTTTTTTCCATTTTCCAGGAGATACGCATATTTCCCAGTAATAAGCTGGAGTTACGTATTTTTCAATAAAATGAAATAATACAATGAATGCCGAAAAACCAAAATTTTATTCAAAAAACGATCTCATGAACAAAAAAATATTAAACTCTTACATAAAAAATTATAAATGTTTAGAACTCAAATATAAATAGACAATTCTTCTTAATTAAACATGAGGCAAATTGTCATAAAATAAATGATAATCCGGCAGTAAACTTTTCTTCAAGACTTGAAGGTGATTATACTTTTCGCTAGAAATTTTAATCCTCTCATTATATAAGGGTGGCATTTCCTCAAATGGTCTCATTTCAATCTTATTATTTCTCGTTACATTTAAAACTTCGTCCGAATATCTTAGTTTATAAAAAATGCCATCTTTTGTGTACTTTATTTGCTTCAAATCCGTTACATGTGGGTCACCAACTGTATTTCCTGGTCTGATTGACTTATAAAATTTCAAAATATCCATTCTTTTGAAAAAGGTGTGATAGTCTAGATATTTCACAGTGTAAGGTATTTTACAAGCAGTCTCACAAATATTAATGTAATCTGCCGGTACATTGATATTTTTCTTTTTTATTTTCCTTTCAATGGTGGAATGAACTGAATCCACTTCCATTTGTGTGTGACCTTTCAATAAGAATTTTTGAATTATTTCAATATTTTTTTCGATGCTTTGCTTAATTTACAATCACACCTAACTTTCATTTCCTTTGGTGGTTTTTCAATGTCATATCGCCAATTGTTCTCAATTCTTTTTCTACCCAAGTAACTCTGTCCACTTTCCCTCTTTAGTCGATTCATTCGATCACTCCATTTCAGTTCATTAACTTGGCATCTTCTAACTCTCTTTATTTTTTTCTCTACATCCTGGTTTTCGTTTTCTGACTGTTCTACCCTCGGTTCTGCCTTAGATTGATCTTTACTCTGATTTCCCCTATCTTCCGGTACATACTCACTTCCTGATGACTCATCACTGTATTTAATTTCATTTTCGATCTCATTCTCGTCGTCTACTTCAACAGCCTTCCTTTTTTATACACATGGTTCTCCAGCACTGTGGCCGACTGGTCTTCCGCAGACTGATATTTAGTCTGAATATCACATTTTCCAGGCACAAATGCAGTTTCTGATGATTCTTTATAATTGTTATTTTCCTCGGTAATATTTTCGTCTTCTATAACTTTCTGGGATTGCTCTGACACATTTTTTTCTATTTCCAAATCTCCAGCTTCTGGAAAATTATGTTCAGCTAAGATTCCATCTAATTTTTGAACGTCCTGATAGTTATTGGCTTCAAGCATGAATGCATTTAAATGTTGATATTCAACCGTACTGTCTAATTGTATTAGGTCACCATTTGGAAGTAAATCTTCATCGGATTGAATAATCAATATTGGAATATTATCTAAATCAAGCTCGTCACTTTTTAAATTAGAATGTTCTGTCCTCAAAACTTCAGCAGATTTGCTCGTGGAAAGCCCATTTGATGGCAAATTCACTGGCTTATATGGTAGACTAGGCTTAAAAACCATTTCTAAACATTTCATTCCCCTTGAATTGGGATTCATTGTTGAATCTAAAAACAAGAAAAGCACGTCACTCGACTAAATAGACAGTTTACTTGAAACTTTTACTTAAAAAAGATGATCTGTATCTATTATTAACCGTGTTTATCTATTATTTTATTCAGTTATTATAATAGTTTATTCTTGGCTATTTATTCGTTTCAGGAAAACATCGTAAATCCACTCAATAACCAATAGATATAATTCGAATACTGCATATCTCCACGTATAGATAAAAGTGGCAAAATAATAATACCCAATAAATATAATAACTAAGTATTGCTTAACAAAGTAATCAATGGTAATTAAGTAATACTTACCACCCAATTACTTGTATAAAACCCTTGAAAAACTGTTACTTACTGGCAACAATACAGCAGCAATACACAACCAAGCCAGATTTCTATAAGGAAATGCGCAGTTACGCATCTTTCGTATTAAATATGGCGGTACTGGAGTTACGCTGTTATCGTAGTGAGCGATATATAATATTATGGTTAAAACACGGACATCCGAATTATTCATAAAAATAAGTAATAGCATTCTCTCGAAGATGGCAGTAATAACTCATTTTCAGAGAATTGTGGAGTTGCGCAGTTTACAGATTAGGCCGACGATATGCAAAATAAAATTTTGCATTTATTAATATATTTTGCTAATAAATTATTAAAATACGTTAAACTTGATAACAAATAATAAAACAAAAACGTTAATCATTACTTGCAAATTCAGGTAACCAAAAGGAAGTGGGGTTTTCATTCTAAGAACTATTAAATATATGCTTATAATGGGTTATTCAAAACTCTCTTTTGTAAATTCCTTACTGGTAAACATTATGCATTTCTACGAAAACCATCAACAAATAAATTTTAAATACATATATTCACAATAGATTTTATATCGTAATTTGAGTTTAAAGTGTATTGCCCATGTTTAGGCAAATTATGTGTGTCATAAAAAACCTGAGACAAAGGGATTAACTTTAAATAATAGCAAAAATATAGTTAACACTTTGTAAAAAAATTAACAATACAACTAAATCAAAAACCAATAATACATTTAGAGAGAAATTTGATTCAATTTTAAATAAAAACCAAGGATTTCAAAAGCTAACTGAAATAAATAGTATCATCGAGGGTGATTTTGATGAAGCTCTTGACTTAAAACTAGATTCAAATATTATTTCTCAATTTAAATTTGCTCCAATAACTTTGTGCGACATGAAGTGGTCATTTTCTTCATACAAACTTCTTTTAAGTGACAGACGGCATTCCCTTAGTGTCGACAATTTAGAAAAATATTTAATCACTTATTGTTTTTATTCCGGTAAAAATTAGTTTTAAGGTCAATTTGTAATGTTCTATAAAATAACCGATAAATTCTGTATTGTATGTGTATGTCTTATCTTTTTCTTTCAATAAAATTTACAAAAAAATTAATATCTGGTTGTTTCTGATTTTTTCATTAAGCATAAATGCATATATAAGTTCATATTTTGAAGGTGCATAGTTTCATGCATATTCTGCCATTTTTTTCCTGCATATTTTCCAAGCTCTATCATTAGATGGAAATACATAAATTAGTTATTGGACCATTAACTAAATTCTCGATAATGTCCGATTTAAAAAACTTCTGAATAAATAAAAATTTAAATTAAAAAATTATAATCGAAGTTACATTATTATTTATGCATTTTTATACAATATTTTAAATATTCTGAATTTATTATCAAGGTAGGTAGCATAGATAAAATAATATGCATATTATTTTATCTATAGTAGGTACCAAAGTTGATTTTGTAGCAAGACAAAAAAATGTTTCTTAATTTTGAGACCTAAATCCATTGATTTTCTAAACCAAATTATTGTTACCCTTATGTTTTATGCAACTGGATTATTTAAACAACAATTTTAATAAACATTCTTAAAGTAGGTACCATGGGCAGAATAATATTCCAATTTCCAAATCCACTCTACTCTATCGTAGATGTACCAGATTTGGAGGTTAACTCATAACCAATGTCATATATTTATATAGATTGTTCATTTATATGTAAATCAGACATCGACAATAAAGTAAGGACCACAAAAACACTATTCTGCAATATGACATATGAACTCACTTCGAGTGACGGATAATGTAATGAAAATGAAAAGTTAATAATTCTATTTTTGTAGACTGACGAAATAAAAATTATTAAAATAAACCTATTTAACACAAATGGCATTTATTTTCTCCAAAACTGACTAGACAAAAAGCGGGTTTCGCTGGGCAAAGTCTCCTTTATATCTAATACATGTTTTCTCTCATTTTTAAGTAATCAGTTATAAATTGTAAACATAGTGTCAGAAGAAGAGTATTGCATTAAAGTACTCATAAGTAATTTACAATGAATAGCTTCGCAAAGTACCTACTCATAATAAGTATCTGAGTATGAATACCCACTCTTATGAATAATACTTAAAACAAATAAGTACTTTTCCAAATTTTACAGAGTACTCATGAAAAATCAAGTAAAGAGTACGACCACAAAACAACAAACTGGGTAAAATACAGGGAAATTTTAGACAAAAACATCGTAATTAACAACAACATCACAACTACAACTGAACTTGACAATGAAGTAGACAAACTAACAAAAACCATAACTAAGGCAAGGGACTCTACAGCAAAAATTGAACAAATCAAATTACACCACGAAAACATTACCCAAGAAATTCAGGACATGATAAATAGAAAAAATTACATACGCAGGCGTTGGCAACGAAATAGACAAAGTGACGACAGAATTAGACTCTTAGACATATCCAAAACAATCAACGCTGCATTACAAAACTTAAAAACAAAAAATGGACTGACATACTACGAGAACTAAAACCATAAAACAACTCAGTGTGGAAAGTCGCAAAGCGGTATAAGAAGCCGATTATGCAACTTCCCACACTCGAGGACAATAACGATCAATACATAACGGACACAAAAAAAGGGGTAGCGTTTGGATCATACTTCGAAAATAATTTTAGAAACAATAATATTAATAACCCTGAACAACAAACCATCGAGGACATTGTAGAGGACATTAAACTCCTCCCCAGAGAAATCGTTCCGGCCAATCAGCTGGTCATGCCAAACAAAGTCAAAAAAGTAATCAATAAACTTAAAAATAAGAAGGCCCCGGGTCCAGACGGGATAACGGGACTCATGCTAAAAAAAATATTTCAAAGAAAACGGTCGTGCAACTGCACTATATAATAAATGCTATTTTCAAATTGCAGCATTATCCTAAGAACTTAATATCATTCCCATTAAAAAACCCGGAAAACTCGCGAAAAATATTGAGAGCTATCGTCCCATATCCCTACATAACTCACTTACTAAAACAATAGACACGATAATACTAAACAAATTACGCTTAATCGAACAGGACAAACAAATAACTCCACAGGAACAGTACGGTTTTCGCGAAGGACACGGTACGGTTTCGCAAGTAATTAGAATTGCTCACCAAGCAAAAGAAGCTTTTAATATTCAAAAAGTAACCGTAATGGTCGCCTTAGATACAGAGAAGGCCTTTGATACTGTCTAGACCTGTGGACTTATCTACAAAATGTTTATAAATGAATTTCCTATTTATATTGTAAAAACGATTCAATCTTATCTACAGGACAGAACATTTACCATTAAAATTAATAAAACAATAACAGGACCATTTAATGCAATAGCGGGGGTACCTCAGGGTTTGGTACTTTCGCCGCATCTGTACACAATTATGACCCATGATATGCCCATGGGTACTAATGGTATACAGACGGCACTGTACGCCGACGACACCTGTGTGTACAAAACTTCGGAGCTGGCTGAAGTCGCGAACAGGAGGCTTGATATACACATTAACAGAACATTAATTCCCTACCTGTACGCCAACAAGATGAGATTAAATGCTGCGAAAACCGAGAGCCTGACTCTCACAAAAAAGCGTAGCGGTAAATCACGTTTAATTCATAATAAGCTTAAAATCGGAGATCAGGTGATCGAATCCCAGCGTTCAATCAAATATCTAGGTGTGTGTCTGGATAGGGAATTAACATTCAGAAACCACATCGACGATAGGGTGGCAAAAGCCAAAACTGCAATAAGAACGCTGTACCCTCTGTTCAGGCGAAACAACCAAGTAAGTCGGGACAATAAACTATTATTGTATTGCCAAGTAATCAGGCCAATACTGACGTACGGATGTCAAGCCTTCTGTTCCATGACAGAAAGTCACTTCAATAAGCTCCAGGTAGTACAGAACAGTTGTCTAAGGCGGTCTCTGGGATGGCTCCGTTATTCCAGGATAATGGACATGCACAGAGAGACATCCATGCCAACTATAAAATCATATATCATGAATATCTCAGAGAGATTTTATAAAAACAGTCTTCCTGATAACATAAAAAAAGATATATTTAACATTAATGAGGCAAATAGTGCACATAGAAAGCATGGATGTCTCCACAAAGCACTGACAATTTACAGACAAGTTTGAGACGTAATACACATACAAACATACACAGACTGTGCCCTGTGACAATAAAACTAATTGTTCAAATTCAAGCCGACTAGACGCAAAATCTAGTCGGACGGTGGACTGCACGGTAAATCGAAAATCGAAACGGCGATATTTTTCGCTGCTTCGATGGACTGTAACACCGTGCAATCCACGGATTTGGACAAATTAGCCAAAAACTATACGGACAAACGGACATATAAAGACAACTCTGTTTTTTCTTAGCCTTTTTCAGGGAAACGATACAAAACTAACAGCAGACAAAATTACTATGAGGAAAGTTCCATTACCGACGCTAACTAAATAATCAAAACTGTCATATTATATTCTTCGGGAATAAGGAGATGACACCATAAATATCATAAACGAGAAACATCTTGCATTAGTGATTGCGGGACGATATGACGCCCATATTTCTCCTGCACAGGCTGGAGTACAGGGGCGAAAAAATCGA